ATTTTCGTTCAGTCTGGGAAGCTGTAACAAGTCTAGTGCAAAATGAAAATCTGATAACATTTTTTTGGGTGTATTTAAAATTTCCAGTAATAGTAACACTTCCAATATATCTGAGCTGATCTACCTTTATACTTAATATATTCCTTTTCTCTTGTTCATGTAGGAATGGAGTTTTCTGTYTTATAAACTCCAAACTGATGTTTCTAGGGACTGCCTTGTATTTGTCTGATTACCACCATGAAAGTGACATTAGTTAATGCCAAACACTTAAACTAACCCTAGATGCCATTGGGAAATGTCTTCCTTATTTATTGTGATACTTACTCCACAGATATCATCAAATTTGCTTCCTCTAATTTTAAAAACTGCAGTCAAGAATAGGATTTGGCCAAAATTTGTGAGGAAAGCCATGTTTAAGACATGCTCATCCAGTGACTTGGCTGTGAGACTGAATTTATCAAAACTCTCTGAATTCTCTGTTTTAAGAAATGTTCTGCCCTTATCTGTCCCTATGAGCTCTTTAGGTTTGTATTATAACTGCTTACCAACACATTTGTTGTTTTAGCAATATGTAAACATCTCTAGTTGTCAGGAATTGCACACATTTTAATGGCCTGTCCTCATGACAGCTGTCCACATTTAATTGGGCTTTGAAAAGAATAACAAATTCACACACACTTGTGGAATGTCAGTAACAATGTCAACAATGAKAGAAAAATAATAAACAGTACTCTGAAAATGACATTATCATAATGTTACATAATTAGGAGATACCAGTTCAGTCAAAAAAAACAAAACAAAAATGAAAGTAATAAGTTGCTGCAAAAAGTTAGGACAATGCACATATTTACATTGAACTGATACAGACAGCAAAATGTCTGAAATTTCACATTAGTTTCCCAAATGATTATGGGAAAGAAATATATTTAATGCTATAAAAAGCAGGCTTTTAGCTTGAGTGCCTTTTTTCTTTTTCATGTTATGAGGCTATTGAAAATTTGAAAGATTAAGCAAAATTTTATAGCAATAGCAAAATGGGAATTTTCAAAGGATTGCACAAAAATTTGCTTTGTGGGCAGTTACCAACATAGTGTGAAAGCATTTGGGACAGCAATGATTTCAACGGGCCATTGCTGTATTTTCTTGCTTGTATTGGAACACAAAATTCCTTTCAGAATCACAGATACTCTTAAAAACTGCTGCTCCTCTCCTCCTGGGATAAAGAGCTGTTTCAGGCCTTGATTTCTGAATGATCATCTTCTGCCTGTGGATAGACAGGCACAAATCAAAGTCAACATCTGTGCATCTTAACCCATTTTCCATCCTGTTAYAATAGGAGCATATGCTCTCTGCCTCTGTCATGCAAGCATTGAGATAAATGGGATGGTGCAGATTTGGATAGTGACTGAGGCTGCTGAAGTTTGGGAGGAAAATCCTCTAGGTGGCAATAGGTAATGGAATTGTGGAGTTGTTTTTCCTACCTCTTGCTTCTATTCCAAACTTCACTTTTCTAGGGTCATACGTTACCTCTTTCCCTGGCAGTTGAGCTGGAGGCAGGGGGCAACTCTATGGGAATAATTATCTGCAGCTTCTCTTTTTACTCCCATAAAAAAGCAAATCGTGAGATATTACAGGGAGAAATGATGGAAATATTTTGCTGTGCTCCAGAACTGTATTTCCTTTTTTAACAGAAGTCATTGGGTCACACTGACTGCGGAAATTACTGGTGATGCATCCTGTGCATAGTTCACTTAAGTGTTAAACTGCAGAAAAAGACATTTATTCTTTGTCATGTATATTTACTCTGTCAGAGGAATCAGGCACTGTCCTTTGATGGTGTTCTCCAGCAGACTGAGCTGGGGTAGAACTTTTATGCCCTGTTTTGAGTAAGAAAAGGGCACCTGTGGACTCTGGCTGTTTGGCAGGCTGAAAATGGTTTTAACCACTTTAAAGTATTAGTGCTCAGTGAAGTCATTGTGGTAGTAGTTTGCTGCTGTTAAAAGAGTTGAAGCCTGTACACTACTTAAACTTTATTTAAATTCTCAAAGGAGAGCCTACATGGTACTGAAATGGTACAGAAATTACATATCTGGCCATTGCATGTATGRAGTTGAATTTAGATTTTCGTTTCTCAAAAGGCCTGCCCTTCCTTCATTTTGAACTAGTCCTCTCTTTCTTCTCTCTTCATAGGTGCCCATTCTATGCATAAATGTGCATTATTTTGCATATAATAAATATATATATTTGCATAATATTACATAAGCACAGGGTCTGTTTTCCCTTAACACCCACTTCAGGCATTCAGCATTTCCATCTCGTACCTGACTGTTCTGTGTGCAGCTCTATTCACTCCCCAGTCTCTCTATCCACCCACTCAGCCCTCAGCCTCAATCCCCAGTTCCCTCAGCTCTCTCCACACACATTCACCTGTTTGTTTTACATATTCCATKTACCCCCTAATTGGAGATCCTTATATGCTCCATCTGTGTGCTCGCCCTTCCTCTGGTCTTTTATGCACCAGAACAAGGATGCTGGGATGTGGATATGTGTGGGAAGTGTGGAGAAGGGGAGGAAGCTGAGCTGAGGAGGACCTGGTACAGATCCATGGATTTATGGTGGGATGGAAAAGCCACAGGAATGCTGCAGGGCAGGAGATTGTTGGCCCAGGGAGAAGCTGAGGACTGAGGTTTAGCCTCACTACTGCCTTCTCTCAGGAGGCTACAGCTTCTTCCTCCTCTTCCTTCCCTTCCTSCCTGCACTAAGAATGTGCAGGCGGTGGGATTCAGTGCAGGCTCTGCAAGCTCTCTGGTCCAGGGGAACAAGGAACCCCAGCATCCTGCCTTTGGCAGTGTCATCACTGGGTGCCCTTGGGTGAATATGGAAATATGAACCCCTTACTCTCTCCTTCAGGGATTTTCTTGGCTCTTTCCCTCTCACCCCCAGTGTTTTACAGGTACTCCCCAGTTCGAGTGCCGCTGATCTCAGTTTAAAACTCCCAGCACCATTGATTTTGTAACTCTGTGTTAACTCACCGGATGTAACAGCGTGGTGCTGCGTAGGTTTTAGTACATTTTAGCATTACCTATACATCAGTCAGTTTTAATTGTTTATGTTGTTGGTCCTGGGGAGCTGTAGCTCTGGTTTCACCTGCACAGAATGCTAAATGCAAAGTGCTTCAACACTCAGGAGCTCTAATTTACCTGTCAACACATCTGTCATCATTGAAMGGGAGAGGAGATTTGGCATAAGGCAGTTATTCCTTAACCAGTTTCAATGACTGACGTCTGGGCAGAGCATTGCTGGGAGAAGGTTGGTGGCATAACCACAATAATTTTTTTGTAAGAAACCAAAAACCAAAACAAAAAACTATCCCSAAACCCAACCCAAAAAAACAAAGAACCAAGCAACAAAAACAAACCCACCAAAACCACACAAACTCCCCACCCCCCAAAAAACAACAAACAAACAATCAAAAAAGTTTAAACTATAATGAAACTATTAAATAGCCTAGTTTAGGGCAAGTGAGGGAAGTATTTTAGAACACACAAAAAAAATGTTACGAACACATATTTTCCAGATACAGGAGTAAAGTTTCTACTATATTACTGCATAAAACATGAAAAAAAATTTGTCAGTTTTCCCTTTCTCCTGAAGGTACTTTCTCTGGTTTTGGTCTAACCAGACTTAAAGATCTGTCACTTAAAAAACTGGCAACAGAGATAGAAGACACACTTTAAGCACTGAAAGMGTTTGTAACCGAAATTTAATTAACTGTGGGAATAACCAACATGAACCTTGGTTCAGTAGCCACAGGCAAAATTTAATTTTAAAAGCACATTTCCATTTGAGAAAGGGTGGAATACTCAGAAAAAGTGTATATAAGAAGTGTTTATTCTGTAATTGAGTTATACTCAATATATGAGTGGACAAGGYATGTCTGAACTGTTGACACTGGATTAGTTTGTAAAATACTTTCAATTAATGTGATAAATACCTGCTTTCCCTGAAATGGTATTTTAACTGTATCTAACAAAAGCTGTTAAAAAAATGAAAACAAGCCATTTCTGCTTTTGCAGATATTGCAAATCCTGGAAACAGCACTAAATTACTGGATTTTATGTATCAAATAAAATGCCTTTGTAGTTTTTATAAGGGATCGGCTTCTTTTTCTTCTTGCAATTAGAATAAAAGCACAAATTWAAAAAGTGTACTTAGAGAAGGGTTATGCAAAACTCAGGTTTTCCTGAGTGTGAGCCTGTTAGGCTCTCTTAAGATGACAGATTCAGTTCAGCAATAGTGAATTTAAAAAAAAGCTTAATTCAGTGCATGCATGAGCATAACTTTCTGAGTCCTGGAGAGATTATGTTTGCCATCAATAGGTGTATTCCCTTGGAGTTATCCCTAGCACAGGGTGGGGTGTCTGCTGTGTACACATGTGTGAAATTTTAACTGTCCTGATCCTTGGGCTCCACTTGAATCCCTGGATCCTGGTCTGAGTGACACAGGAGAAAACCCARCATGTACAAGCATTTAAGTTGGATCAGAGGGAATTTGTGGGAGAAATAGTGCATTTTCTTTGGAGAGGCTTCTCTTCCAAGAAGATATTGCGTCACTGAGTGTACTTTGTATCCAGATCCCCTCAAAAAATGCTTACTTGGGTAAAATATCTTTTAAATACTATCTATGTGTGGTTAACAGAGATAGAAAAAGATATCTGACAGAAGGTAACTTAAAAGTTGATTTGAAATGCATGCAAAACACTACATTATTTGGAACTGTCAGGTCGGGAACTTTTGTTGTATAAGTTATTGTAGTTATAAAAAGTAGAGGGGCTCCAGAGCAGGGGAACATGAAGATATGGTGCTTAGGAACATGGTTTACTGGTGGACGTGGCAGTGCTGGGTTAATGATTGCACTTGATAATTCTAAAGGTCTTTTCCAACCAAAACAATTCTGTGATTCTGTGATCTGTATCTGTAGCAGTCCTTTCCTTTTGGCAGGTCATTGGAAAGGATGATGTGGCTGTACCATCCCACCTGTACAAGGTGATCCTTGCCAGACGGAGCAGAACGTCCTCAGAGCCCCTGGTGCTGGGAGCTTTTGTGGTGCCCAAYGATCCCATAGGCTTCAGCCACCAGCTGACGGACTTCCAAGTCAGTGTTGAAGATCTGGAAAAAATGTCGGGTTTAGTTTTCTTTCCCCAGGTGGACAAGACCAAAGATGTTAAAAATATCTGTGAGGTGGATACCTGCAAACTGATGGGCTTCAAGGAATTCACGTTGTACATCACTGCCCGCAAAGTGCAGAGCGCCCGGACACTGCGCCGGCTGGAGAAAGCCATGTCAGAGTTACAGGAGGCAGGAATTGAGCCTGATGAGTATCTCCTCAAGCTTTACAAGAAGAAGGAGGAAGAACTGCTGCAGGAAAAACCAGTAGCAGCTAGAGAAGGGAGAGCTGGCTGAGTACATGTTCAGGAAGCTGTTTGGGGTTTTGGAGCGGGGAACTGAAGGCAAACACAAAGACAAGGGTTCCTTGAATCATCTTTTTTTGAGTTGTGAAAACAATAAAGAAATATTTGGAAGCTTGTGGGTTTGGAATAATGTTCCTTCTTGTGTAACGTGATGCACATGCGTGGTTTGCTGCAGTGGTTAGATATGGAGAGTGTAAATGACCCCTTTCTRTCCCTAATAGATCACTGGACCTCCAGGAAGGGCTTTGTGCTATTTTCCATCTGGGACGTCAGACTTAGGGTTTGTGTGGAATCCCTTCCAGGAATATCACAAAAATAGACAGTAGGCACCTTGGGAGTACGACTGGAACGTGTTTAAATGGAATTCCGCCCACAAATGCCTTTCACTGCAGTGCTGTAGAAGCAATTGTACTTTMTGGAATATTTTGAAAATTGTGTTAATGAAGAAATATTTCATTTTTACTCTTTTATTAGAGACCTGTAAGACATAACCTGGTCTGTCCTTAGTTGTATTAACCCAAACCTCTCCTGATCTTGCGTGCTTTGGGTACTTTAGTATATCATGAGCTCACAATTGTTATCATTTGCGGCATACTTATTCCATCATGTAGAATTCTGCATTTTTTTTTGTAAGAAAACCCCAATAGAACTGAAGTTTATACAAGTGCCTACCAGYGTAGGCTGGGTTTTCACAAATTAATGTAACCTTAATACTTAATTTTAGTCACTAACTTTGGATAAACATGTTTTCTTCCATATTGTTTGAGAGGTGAGCACTGCTTGCGTTTTGGTTGTAGCCACTGGCTTGCTCCCCAACGCCTGCCTTTGGACTATAAACTATGCAACAAAACTTGTATATGAAAGCAGAAGATTGACTGAAAATGCATTTCCACTTCTTTTTCAGTGGCAGCTGATGTTACTCAGATTTGCACCTGCTTGGAAGATCTAATGAATTTTTTTTTTGTTACTTTTGTACTTTATTTGGGTAACTTAATGTGGCTTGTATCCTTTGACATCTTACATCTGAAAAGAAASAGTAAAATCTCAAAATATTCAGATTTTTTTTTTTTGATGATGAGAATTGATTGACATTCGGAGTTTGTACCATAAAAACACCTTCAGTAGTTTTCACATGAAAGAAGGGTCATGTAATGCCTGGCTGAATGGGGCTGTTTTCCAAAAGGATGAATCAGGAGCATTATTTGGATACTGTGAATCATCAACTGGGTGTTTTAAGAACTCTAGTTTCTTTCATCTCTACTCAGTTGCAGTATCCCAAAGCAGATCACTTCATAAAGCAAGCCATGGTTCCCATGACRCTTTTGTGTTTGCCAAGAACATGTACACAAAATCCAGACATTTAAATCTGGAGAAATGTCTCTAGCTACGGACACCATAAAAGCCTACTGCCCACATGAATTAGAGAGAAATCGGCTGAAATCCTGACAAAATATTTGCTCACTTCAATTTTATCCCAGAACTATGGATGTAAATCCTGTCAGATACAAGAAAAACAGTAAATTGCAAAACAAGAAGCCACATCTCCCTTTTCAGAACRTGGGAGATGTCAGGGGGTGTTGCCTGGAATAACAAAGTGCCGATGCTTCATGTGCCTCTTGGTGGTCCAGTGAGGGTTTCATTGGAGTCTGAGCAGCCTTTGGGCACTGCCATGGTGTCCCCTTTGGAACAGATACCTGTTCATTGCCCTTTGCATTTTTTTCCCCTTTATTTGAATTATTTATGGTTTTTAATTCAGCTTCCACTTTCCTTTTCATCCTTTCAGCTGAGAGGTTACAGGTCTGCCTTGCAGTGCTCGTACACCCATGGGCAGCCGAAGCAGTTCTCAGTGCTGCAGGTTCGTGTCCACCCATAGCAGAAAGCTGCCTTGGGACAGTGCCAGGTGTGTGTGAGGAACTCCAGGTGTGTGTGAGGAGCTCCAGGTACCGTCCCTTGCTGCTGACAGCTCACCACTGCAACAGCAGCAGAAGCGCCAAGTGCATTCCTGTGGAGTCCTGCTATGGAGACAGCTGCTCCCTGACTGCACCTCTTCAAGCCTTGCATGCCCCCTTGGATTCCTGTGARCCCCAATTACCATGATTCCCATGCCTCGTGGCTTACAGCATGGACTGGGCTCCCTGGATCGTTTTCAGCCCCGTTTGAGCGTGGTTGGTGTTCTTCAGCTCCCCTTGGAGGGCAGCAGCAGGTGGTGAACCGTGAAACCACTTCCAGAGCTACTCCGTGCCAAAGAGAACATTCACCTGCTCCCGTCCTGCTGGTTTCCTGATCCCAATTAACTGTGGAGTCTGGCATGGAGCAAAAAATGTGCTTTCTTTACAGCAGGAAATAYAAGACGAGTAATAGCAAAGGGGTGAGGCTTTACACACTTGTTTGAGCCACCTCTGTGAGTGATTGATTCAATGTCCGTGAGAACTCTGTGTCCATCTGTCATTCCTGTTGCACAATTAATCACGTGCATCTCTAGTGACAGTGGGAACCTCTGTGCTGCAGCYAAGCAGCAGGAGGCCTGGAAATGGAGAAATCTGTTCTTCCACTGTTCTTCTGTGTTTGTTTTAGAAGATAAATAACCAAATCACAGGGAAAGTTGACAACTAGGCTGTCCACAGACTGATACAGTGATTTTTTTTATATTCCCCTGGCTGGCTGCTCTTGATTGTTTCTGCTGGTCTGGGGTCAGGRTGAAAGTGATGGGAGACAGGAGGCAAAAGGGAAGGGAATGCAGGGGAGAGCTGTTGCTTTGTTCATGGACTTTGGACAGTGCTCAGTGCACTTTGGTATTTGGCCTTTTGAGGGCAGACTCCTTCCACAGTGTCAGCTTCGGCAGCCAAACATGGGAGACATGAACTGAGTGCCTCCAGCCCATAATAACTGTATTTCTCTTTGTGGTACTAAAATACCTGTTTAAAATGAGCAGTTTCAAGCATTATATTGAAGCATTATATCAAGTGCAGTATGAAGCTAATGATTTTTCCYAAATAAGGGTTTTGACAATAATATCTGGAAGTGCTTTCACATTGACCACCCAAGTTGTGTGAGACAAAAGGCAGTTTTGTCTCCAGCTTCTCCATGAGTTTCATTCTACATGAAGATTTAACTCTGCACTGATATCTTGCAGTGCTGTTGATTTGCACCTGTAAATATAATTGKGTGGGGAGAGAGGAGTGGAATTAAAAGTTCTCATTTTTATTTTTGTGTGATTGCTTTATTTCAGAGCACTTTTCAATTTGTCCTGTAGTTTTAAAGATGGATCTTATTTGCTAGTTGTGTTGAGTGCTGCATTAAACTATAGAGAAATAGTTTCTCTCCTGAAAAATATGTTGGACACACCAGGCAACAATTGGAAGAACAGAAAATATACAAGCAGAAATTTGAGGATTTCTTTCATCAGAGGAMTTCAGTGGTGCTGCAACACCCTTTGAGTGTTCTTTCCATCACTGGAACCATCTCCCTGACAAAGACACTTAGGTGTCCTGTTATATAACACATGGAATTAAGGCTGGAAAAGACCTCTAAGATCATTGATTGAACCATTAACACTTCATGGATGCCAGCCTGGTGAAGGAACCCCCAAACCCTCCTGTGGCCATCCTGGTGCCYGTGTGTTTGTTTCCCAGCAGTGAAGGTGTGGAAGAATTGCATATAAACCTTAATGTGTTGTTGCTGATAACATGGCTCAGTGGGGAGGTAAGGAGCAATTTTGTTCTTATTTTTGAATTGTCTTCTTCAGTCACACAGGAAAAGCTTTTCTCACCATGCAGCAAAGGAAATGTTTATTTTCTTTTTTTTATTCTTTTGGTAATTTTTTGATTCAGGTCCATCTAATCAGCTCCACCCACACAGTGGCAGTGTAGCCAGTTCTCACACGCTTCCTAATAACCATCTGCCCATGCAATTACTGGCTTGTCTGCTTTTGCCATAGTGTGGAGGAAAAGCCTGAACCAGAGCTTTGAGTATTTGCTTGAAATACCTGAAGTGTGTGTGGATGCACACTCTGGGATGGAACACGGTGCTGGCTGTGAACAGCCCCCACTTTCTCATGCTGTAAATCATTATAGAGCAACTGGCTTTTCCCATTGTGCCATTCAAACAGGGCAGGTTCCCCACCTGCTGTGAGAAAAACCAGCAGCTGTGGCAATATAATATTCCAAAAATAGTCACTCCCAAGAGCTGAACACAAAGCTGATAATGTTGGTTTGAGAAACACAATGGCTGCCATCCCAGTGTCTCCATCAGTGGGTGGGGAGAGAGACAGGAAACAGGTCTGAAAGGAAACTCTTCCAACTCTGCTTAAGAAACAGAGCAGAAATATTTAGCAGATCACAGAAGTAAATTTGGATTGTGTCAAGAATAAATATTTCCCATGACAGCAAATAAAAAACAGTGCAAGTTTTCCTTATCATCTCTCAGCAGCTGACGGGGCAGGGCTCAGCACTGAGCAGACTGGAGCCAGGAAAGGAATGGGAGCATGTGCTGAGCTGGTGCTTGACAGCCTTAAATCCTGTCCTATCTTTCCTTGGATGCATCATTCTGGAGGAGGATCGTCCCATCTCCTTCCAAGCCTCCTTTTGCTCCCACATACAAAGAAAAATATTATTCCTGTCCACACGGTTGTTTTGTGACCCAGACGATGCTCTTTGGTGCTGCAGTGCCTCCARCCTTGCCCAAGCTCCTGAGGAGCCACAATAGGACACAAAAGGATGGGCAGCCAGGCTGTAAAACTGGGTTTGAGCTTGGGTTTGGTTAGAGATGTTGTAAAATGCAAGGCAAGCTAAGACTGGAAGGTGAAAGCAGGTGAGAGAGCTGACCCAGCCCATGGCAGTGCTAGAGGGCAGGATGCCAAACTACCCTCAGCAGGTCCCTTGAAGTGCACATGAGCTGCTGCAGKGGGAACTGAAGGGCTGCAGAGCATCACCCAGACATCAGGCGTCAGCTCACCTAATGAGCTGAAGCTCCAGAAAAAGSTGCTGGGATTCACCTGACTTGGTTTAGCTTCATCTTCAAGACATCTGTACTGCTACTCCTGCTACTACCCTATTGCTAACTGCATTTTTGTATCATTAATCCATCAGACTGACTTTCCAGTCGAGGGAAATCTAATCAGAGAATCTCCCTGGTGAGAGGCATGTGAGTGACAGGGCTGCCTTTCCCCACTGCCACCCTGGGCCTGGGTGGGGTCTGTGGAGTCCTGCAAATACTGCCAGGGTTAACGAGCAAATTCAGGGATTGCTTGGTGTGTGTTAGCCTGGGAGACAACACCTTATCCTTTTYCTCGTCCTGTGTCACAGGCATCCTGGAATGTCACATAAGTGTAACGGGAAAGCTGCACAGGGAGGAGCTGTGCAGGAGCAGCAAAAATCTGCATGGAAATTTCCCATTCTCTCCTCTCAGCTCCACTCTTCAGGTGTTTCAAAATGCGGGGAGATTCCCGTGGGCGGGAATGTAAAATGTGTGTTCGTGTGGAGTTGGGATCAGCGTGTGGCTGCGTGGGAGAGGAGTTTTGGCTCCAGGGTTGTGTTTTCATTGCGTGAGATCTGTGCTGCAGCGCGTGGGAGACTTCAGGAAAGAAGTTGCTGTTGCTGCCATCGGGGTGARTCCCATCGGTAGCAGAGCAGCACTTTCAGCACCTCTGGGCTTGCCTGTCCTGAGCCCTTGCCAGGAATTTGGTGTCCAGATTCCTGGCAATGTTTTTCTCCCAAAGTCATACAAAAAGCAGGCACACACASTAGAAACGCTGAAGGCCAATATTCAACCACCCCTGCACCCAGTTTGCACAGGGGATTTGAACTCCAGGTTGCCAGTGTCAGGGGGRACATGTCCTCTGTGGGGCTGCAGGGAGAAGTGGGATGTGAACTTTCCTGCTCTAAAGTATATCTATTCTCTTTAAAGTGCATCTGCTGTCCCTAAACTGCTCCGTAGGTCTGGCTGCCACCAGGCCAGTGAGGGAGGATGCAGTGTTCACTGCAGAGTTTGTGGGTGCTGCCAGGTGCGAGTCGGTG